GTTGCTGTCGGTGCCGACAGGTCCCCCAGCCCGATCTGCTCACACCCCTCCTGCGTTTGGCACTTCGCAGGTGCCCAAGCGTTTCTGTGCCTCCCCCTGCGTACCCCCTCCGTGCCCACAGAGGTGAATTTGCAGGAGCAGGGAAGGGGCCTGATGCTGAGGAGGCTTTTGTCCCCCTCTCTGGCTCCCAGCAGCGTCCCCAGTGTGCTGCTGTGGAGGCATCAGGCCCTGCCGGGAAATCAAAATGGGAATCAGGCTTTCCCTGCCTGAAAGTCCCCCCTGCCTGCCTGCGGCTGCGGGGTGACCTTTCTGTTTTTCAGTGTATGCTTTGCAGAGCACCTGGCTTGTGAAGTGTTACCCAGTTAAGCTGGAATCAAGACAGGACAACGCCAGCCCCTCCTGGTCCTAAAAAGGTACTCTTCAGCTCTCTCTGTGGCAAACTCCTCCAAACAGTGACCTGACAGTTAGGGCCTGCTGCCCTGCCATGGCTCACTTGCAGAGGGAACTGCCCCTGGCTTCTGGGGGCCTCCTGCTAAAACCAACACCTGCCCATCCAAACCGATTTAAAACAGACCAAAAAATCTGCTTTTGCATTTGCCTTCCTGTGCTTCTGCCTTTAATGCTCCTATTTTCTAGCTCCTAGTCTGTAAAAGCTAGAAACTTCCTGTGCGTGAAATAAAATGGATGGAACTGCCGTTTTGTCGCGTTTCCAGAAGCCGTCCTGATACCACCAGACACCATCAGGCCCGCAGCAAAAACACGAAGCCCGGTAACGCAAGTCTTGCAGTGTATACCCACACCAACAAGCACAGCCCCTGCCCCAGAGGGTTTACACACTTCAGCGCTCGCAAACAGTCTCCCCAAGCCCGACGGGACAAGCGTGGAGGCTGCAGGCAAGCATCGGTACCGATGGCAGCAGCCAAAAACCTTAAAAAATGGTGTGGGAGGAAACTCTAGTCCTAAAAATATCAGTCGCTGGTGAGCGCCTGGGAGGGAGCTGTGCCTCCGAGTCACCCGCTGCTTCGTGTTTTGCCTCTCGCCTTTCGGGGGCTTTGCTTCTGTCTGGTGCCGAGCTCTCCCACTGCACCAGGCTAACAGACTCCTGTGTCTGCACAGGGCTCGCCTGCTGACTCTGCCCTCTCGGGAAAGATGGGAAAGGGCTACAAGGTGGTGGTTTGTGGAATGGCCTCGGTGGGAAAGACTGCGATTTTGGAGCAGCTTCTCTATGGAAAGCATACTGTTGGTGAGATATTTTTACTTTTTGGGGGGGATTGTTTCCTTTTCCAGAATCTTGTTCTGTGTGGGCCCCCAAAAAGCAGTAACCGAGGGCTGCAAACTGCACTGAAGTGAAGGAGGAAATTCATGTGGTTTCGTTGCATCTCTGGGCAGTTCTTGAAATTCGTAGTCCCGTGCTTACTGATTTTTAAAAGAGGCTTGGAGAAGAACCCTTTCCACGATGTTCCCAGTTACAAAATACATGAATGTTTAAAAAGAAACAAACACAGAAAGTAGGTGATGTGCTTGCTGCATATTTACATAATATCTCGTTCCCTGAAAGATGCTGGAGATGCCTGAAAAATAAATAGATATCACATGATGAGGTATGGAGGGACTGTTTAGACTTTTGTTCTGTCTTAAAGCTTTATTTTGCTTGGTTTTGGCTAATATTTAATCAAAGCGCTGAAAAGAAAAACAGCTCTGTGTTAGGTCCCACATTCTGTGCTGAACTTCGAGGGCCAAGCTTCTCGGCTCTCAAAGAAATCCTCCCATGGAAAACGGACTTGAGAGAGGAGCATGGGATGTCTGAGACTTGCTGCGCACAAAAGAAAGGGAATGAAGGCAAAGCAGGCTTGTTTCCCTCTGTTTCCACATGACTTGGCTTTGAGAGGAATGGCAATGATGAGCAGGCTGATGAATTATTCCTGCCTCACCCAGAAACAAGGGGTGGCACCAGGGGTGAATCTCAGAGCTTTGACAGAAGATGTCTAGTCCATTTGTATCTTTTCCTTGGGCCGGTAAATTAAATGTTGGGGTAAGTTATTGCATAAACACTAGGATTTCTAGAATGGTGCTTTGCAGGCACTGTGCCTTTAAAATGTGTGGATGGGAGGAATTTGCTGGCAAAGCGTGATATAGAACTGCGTGCTAATACCCTTGTTTAAAAGGAGGATTTCCTCTAATGTTGCAGCAACATCTGTTTCCAGCATCCTACCGAGCCCTATGCACGTAGCCTCGTGTAGCTTTCAGCGTGAAGGTTGCAAAAACTGCAGGCTGAAGGTTTTTCCTTTTGCTACCGACCTGCCTCTGCTCCGCGCTCGGTGATTGTCAGAGACACCCGAGCAGCATGAGCAAGGCCACGTTGCTTAAATCGTATTGCCTTGCATTACTTCTTGACCTGAGCTCCTATTAGCGACCCAGGCAGGAAGGATACTCGGGTGTTGCTGATCGGAGGAGCTATTTATGGAACCAGCCATGTACACGATTATACAACGTCATGGATACTGGCTGACATAACCGGAGAGAGGCCTCGTGCCCGGGGTTTAGCTGTGGGTGTCCCTCTGTCGCTCCTGAACGCTCTGCTCCAGCTCAGCCATTGCGCAACGCAGACGTTCCCCCTCTCTCAAAAAGATCAGTTTTCCTTTCTCGCAGCTCTGCTCTTATTTTTCGGAGTTAACAGTAAGGGAGGGAGCAGCTGATAGCGGAGGGGGGGCACAAGGGGAGAAGGAAGAAGGTAGCCTCCTGTTTTTTATGGTTTTGGTCAAATCTTATTCCCAAGACATTTGGAGAAAGAGGGCAAGTAGCAGAGTCAAGATCGGAGCAAGGAGGGGGCTCGTACAGAGCCACTGCAGTGCCAAGGGACGAGCGGCCACGGCCCAGCGCTTTTGATATCACCCGCGTGTACCATCAGGCATGTTCTGGGGGGTGGACTGATATGTTGGTGTTTCTGGCAGTCCCACTGAGTGGCCACCGTCCTCCCTGCCTCTTCCTTAGCCCCCGGGGCAGTTCTGGCAGAGGGCGCCTGAAGTATGGTGAAAACGGTTCCCAGAAGATCTTTAGCTACTGCTCCAATCGGTGTTGATTTAACCCACTAACTGTGGAGGCAGGACAACACTGTGAGGGTCTCCCTGGGCAAGGACAGAGTTTGAGGACTGGTGAATCCTTGATTGCTCCTCAGCTGAGCGGCTTTAAACTGCAGAGACCTGCTGCTGGTGCTACCATTGCAGGGGTGGTCCCTTCACGCTTAAAACATGATTACTGAATCTCAGTCCTCGTTTCCTAAAGCTTGTGAGCTCCAGAAAGCTGACATGTACATCTTGGCTGCTGGCCTTTTTGGCAGGAGGCGAAAAGGAGTAGTGTGTTTGCTGAAAGCCCGTCTGTTCAGCCCCAACTAGCAAGGCAGATCAGCAGGTATGGCAACATGGACACAAGCTGTTTCAAAACCTGTGCTTCCTGACTGACGTCAGGAGCAGCTCTGCGGCCGGTCCGAGGGCCGGGGAGAGGGGATGGGGTGCTGTGGGGAGGACTGCTGAGCCAACGCACGGAGTCTCTCTGTTCCTGATGGCATCCACATCCTCCTCCCAGTGACAAGAGGTGTGCTCGAACTTAGTTGCAGGCTCAGAGCACAAGGTCTGGTGCCATCCTCCGAGGTGTTACAGCCACTGACATGGGGGTCTCCTCCTGGCTGTAAATCAGCCATGAGTCTATGTCAGTGCTAACGTGCCTCCTGTTGACTTTCCTGTAAAAAGGAGTGGTGGCACAGCTGCTATCGGGGAAGCTATTAGTGTCCTTGGAGGTTTCACACTGCTATATAAAGCCCTTGGCTTTGAGCCTATGCTCCTAGCTGTGTGCTTGGTGATGGTGCTGTAAACCCAGTTGCACTGTGTTTTTCTTCCTAGAAAAATGTGTACCTTCATCTCTCCCTGGCTTGTCGTGGATGAAGTCCCTAAGTGCTGCAGTTGCTTACATGGTCAGCAGCTAGCACTCTTGCAAAGGCAAGACTGCTTGAGGTCAGAGGAAAAATTACTAGGGAGGGAGGAATACCCCCCAAAAAGGAGTATCTGTGTCCCTGGAGCATGTAAGCAACAATGTGTGGTACTGGGCTTTGTGCTAAACTTTAAAACTGTAAGAGGGCCTGTTTGGCTTGGGCCCTAGGATGAGAAAGGAGGGGGCAAAAAGATGAGAGATGCTGTTAGAGCCGCGTAAAGTAACGTACGTATTGCTTGGCAGCCTCTCTGGTTAAATTGAGACAAGGAATCAAACAAAACCTGGAAGGAGATGTTTGAAATGGGTGCAGATTTAGCTTTGAGTCACACAGGGACTATACTGCCACAGGTCGGGCCAAACAGTTGTTAAGGCTTGCATGTATGTATACGGTTGCCTGGTATCTGGGATGATCTCTCTTTGGGGCTTCAATGTTGTGTTTGTCCAAATCCTCCACCTTCTGTTGCACTCCTGAAGAAAGAGAGGCCAGTCTTTTCTCTTTGGTCATGAAATGGGTCCTTGACTGGCAGCAGAAGTTTGTCCCACTAAATACCTGTGGTACCTGGCACTGTTTGGCCTGAGCTCCCTTGAGAGAGCTAACAGGAGAGGTGCTGGCTTAGCTTTGGCATGGGATGTATCTGTAAAGAGGATAGGTGTTTTTCCTTAAACAGTGCTCCTGTTCAGTGATGACACAGAAAGGAGTCTTCCTTCTGCCTTTACCATAGGTTGAGGGGTCAGAGATATTTTAAAGCTTATCAGCTAAGCAGGAGGAGATGAGAACTTTCCCTGTAGAAAATACGATTTTCCTTATCTCTGCCTCCTGGCTGCATAAATAGCTAGTGTGGTCAGGTTATTCATAAGGAGTTACTTCAAATCATCTTATTAGCTGGGAATGAAAACACCATATATTACTGTGGTAGAACCCATAACGAGAGAGAATTTGCCTCACTTGGTCTCAGCTGGAAGGATTTGGGGTTTTAGCTTTCACAGCTCCAAAGATGTGGAGGCTAATTAATCAAATTACGCATTCTTCCATCTTTGTTTCTTAAATCAAAACTATCTCCTGGAAAAGCTGCAGTCAGCTTTGTATTTTAGAAATGGATGAAAATGGAGCTGAATGTATGCAACTGAGGGTCACAACTGTGCCTACTGGTTGGTGGGACCAGTACTTAACTAGCAGCCAAATCTAAATAGGCCAGCTCCTGTTGAGTCCTGTCCAGCTCTTCTCCAAGTCAGGGATCCTCTGATATGCTGTCGTTTGAGATCTAAGTAAGCAAAGCCTGTTATCCTGGAGTTGTAGAAACGCAAGGAATAGCAGACTTTAAGAGCTATTTGCTAAATTCCTGCTGGGAAGAGGGAGGGAGAGATTACATAGGAGATCTTCAAAAGTACTCAAGACACAAAATTTGCACTGCATTTACGTTCGAGATTCATTTGGGAACTTCTGAAATTCCAGCCATGAAATTTTGCTTTATTTTGGTATTTGCAATATCTCTGCCTTGTCTAGCCTGAGTGTGCAGTATTCATTAGTATATTGAACCTTTTCTTTTCCTCATTGGGAAACCACCAGGGGTTGAAACACCACCCAATTTATGACTGAGGCTTCCCCTTGCAGCAGTTGGTAACATAGATGAAGATCTTTCTGCCTCTCCCAAGACTTGCACCAGCTACGTAGGCACTAGAGAATGGTATCAACCTCCTGTCTATTCCTCTCTTTCCTCCCTAACTTTCTTCATCTTTAGTTTCCAAAGAAACCACAAGATTGTTCACCATCTTGTTAGTTCCCATTTCCCCCTATAGCTTCTGAACCCGAAAGCTGGTTCCATCTGCCCGTTATCTGTGTCACAGCAGTAGATATCCCATAATACATTTCTGTAAATTTAGAAAAAGTGGTAGCAGGAGAGGGAGACAAGGCCCACGATAATGCTCTCCTCCGAGGAAAACCTACTCGAGCTGGCAGCAGTCTGCGGGGCAGTAACTCCCCAGCACAAGCTGCCCTTCCCCACCCAGGTAGCGAAGGTGGGAGGACACCTGGGGATGCCAGCGAAGGAAAGGAAAACCGTGGTCCTTGTGACAGGGAGGATGGGATGGTGCCAGACACCTTCCTAGGACACTAGGCTTTCCTGACTAGTTCTGCCGCTCGTACAACTTTCCCGGCACACATTTGAATGGAGACTGGGAAAGTATGTGAATGAGATGGTACTAACAAGAACTGTAAATATGGTTGCCAGCAAGATGTGGCTAGCATGCGGTCTGGGCTTTGGAAGCAGGGCCTAGAATAAGGTGACACAGGTATGTCTAAAAATTATCTGTGTTTGCTTAGTAATCCACTTGCATACACTCCCTCCCCCAATGTACGTAGGTGAAATTTCACCTCTGGAATCTGATACTGATGCATAAATTCCAGTTCCCTCCAAAGTGCCCCCCCCCCAATCAAAATTTATTGCTCTATTCTGCTGACTTAACTCCCAGATCTTAATTTTTCCTCTTCGTTTTCAAGTAGGATGTTGAAAGACATAATTTTCACTGCTACTTTTAATGCTATTAGGAAGAGACTGTCACAGGAGAATGTGGATATATTAAAGACTGTTGAATTACAGTGCAGCATTTAGATGGTAAAAACTTGTACAACATTATTCATTGCTTTCTAAAAAGAAAACTTAGGTACTTATGGTTCAGTCCTTCTTGCCAAAGTAGTATTTATTGATACTAGATATTTCCTTGACCTGTCTGTACAATGCAACAAAGCAGAGCAAGAAAAAATACAGTGCTATACCAAAAAGGGCTCCATTACCTACTTCAGTCTTTAAAAATGCCCTTGTAACACATTCTCCAACGGCACAGAATGCCTTCGCGCTTCCTCTTTTTATTAACCTTTGTTTTGTCCTCCTGCTCTTAGTTTCGCTGTCACACGTTGGCATGGCTATATTTGGAGGCGAGATAAATTAATTCGTTGCAAACCTAATAAGAGTTTGATCTATGAAGACTGCACAGAGAGGGGCAAAAAGAACAGCTTGTGCCACTTTCCTGCACAGGAATGCTGCATACATCATGGGAAACCATCAGCGTGGGTGGAATGCTTTAGCTTGTTTGTCAATGTGAAGTATTTTGAATAGTGTCATTGAATATAGCAAAATCCTTATTTTCACAGGCCAGATAATCCCTCGTGTTTTCTTAAACAATGCACTAATATGGTCCCTTTTTGGCAGACAAAGAGTAATGCGGTGCTCATTATTGTGGCCCTGCAACGGCAAACAATTCATGTATACAGGAGTGCAGCGGAGGCAAAAACGTGGATTGCAGAGGGTTTATATGAATACTTAAAACCGGCTCTGAAAGTGGCCCAGCTACACTAGGGGGAATAGTTTGTTGGGACCTGTAACCTTATGCAAATGCATCCAGGGGACCACGAAGCTAAGGTGATCTATGTGTTTTCAGGTTTGGCTTGGAAAAAACGTTTTAATTAGTTCAAAGTAAGCTGCCTTGAATTACCTCACATCTACCGTGGGGAGAGAGGAAGGAGAGCCAGTATGCAGATAGTTACCATGAAGCAGGTGATATATATATATGAAAGCTTGTTACCTTGTGCATGCTCTTACCTTACAGTAAATGAGCTTGCTCCTATTAGCAAATCTGAGTCATTTTAGATCCCTAAGGGATAGAAAAAGCTCATTGTGTATTTGAGTAAAATAGCATGCAACTTTGCTTGCATGCAAACATCCCCTTCCCTTTCTGGCTTGATTTCACTTGTTGGTTAGTTGTACCACCAACACACATTCATTTCCAGAATTATTCCTTTGACTCCTGCTTCTGCCATGTGATCCAGCTCAGTATGAAGCAAAGAAGTAGGCTCAAGATGTTAGTACTTGACTGTCTGGTGTTCCTTGGCTGTTCTTCCAAAAGGGTATGTTTGGGCAGGCCCGTTCGCAGCATGTTTGGCACAGAACTGGTACACTGGGTGGTTGGAGTTTGGGAAACCTGGGGGAAGAGCCATATATCTTATCCTATCCTGAATGTGCATCTTGTGTAGATTAATTTTACAGGCATAATCATGTGCTCATATATTAGATGGTTGTATTTACACAGTGTTGCTATTGTAAATAGCTGGTACGGTGATCTGTGAATACAGCCCTTCATGGGGATGTCAGGCAACGTTGAGTCCAGGTCAAGTCACTCTGGAAAACATGCACTGAAAGCTATTGTGGGGTAAAATTCTGCTGTACTGCAAATAAAACTGGTGCTGTGCTTACACCAAGTTGAACTTTCCTGCTTGTTTTAAAACAGGCTTAGAAGAGGGTGCCACAATGGAAGATGTGTATTTGGCATCAGTGGAGACAGACCGAGGTGTGAAGGAACAGTTACGGCTTTATGACACCAGGGGTCTGCAGGAGGGCGTAGAATTGCCAAAACACTATTTCTCTGTCGCTGATGGCTTCGTTCTCGTGTATGCCGTGACCAGCCTCGAAGCCTTCCAAAGAGTTGAACTGCTCAAAAAGGAGATCGACGTCTTTAGAGACAAAAAAGAGGTAAATGCATGGTGCCTTAACTGCTTGGCTTACCGGTGTATCAGTGATAGGAAGTTAAGGTTGTAAAGCATAGATTTTGATTCTGTAAAACTCTCATACAAAGGAAAACTAATGTACCCACAGCCTTGGGCAATCCAGCAAAAGGAAGCTTTCTCATGCTGGGGAAGCTAATTCACGTGCCATGCAGGTCATGCAAAAGAACACTTTTTTTTTTTTCCTCCTTACTCCTTTACTACCACAGCCTTGGGCAATCCAGCAAAAGGAAGCTTTCTCATGCTGGGGAAGCTAATTCACGTGCCATGCAGGTCATGCAAAAGAACACTTTTTTTTTTTTCCTCCTTACTTCCTTTACTACAGCTAAAATTCAGTTAGCTGAATGCATCAGCCAGGACACTTATGACTAATAAAGCATATGGTCTACAGCAGTGCAGTTCATATGTTTTTTTAGATATTGTACACAGGAAGTCAAGTGCATAGAAAAATATAACGAAGGGCATTATCTTTGTTTGTTTTGTATTCATGTACTTGATGGCTTACAAACTAGTGTAATTGACAATGGGTCTCCCAGACAATAGTCAATTGGCAAAGCGGCTTTAATGTATTTTAACAACCATATTGAATCAATTCAATTGTGTGAAATGACTGCTCTATTTTCCCTTAGAAAGCAGCTAGTGTTTTCAGCTGACAGTGTTCCAGCTTAGCTAAACAAATACAACTTGCATGTGGCATTAGCATTATGGCTTTTCTTACAGTATCTTTATATTCTCAAGTAGTTTTCCCTGTTAAATGTCTTTAGCCTACAGCTTTCCAAGCGTCTATTTTATGCTGTTAAAAAAAAATAAAAGTGCATGAAGAATTAATTGGATAATGGTAGGGAGAGACTTCACAAAAATGTAACTTGTTTAGTACTGACAGCACATAGGGTGGTGGAGGAAGGCAGGCTTTGAGTTTGACAGCAGCCAAACGTGCACTCACAGGAGAGGTATGTTAGCTGGTAGGGCTGGTGTGAGCTGCAGATTGTCACGTATATCAGGGATACGGGAGTCAATCATAACTCCCCTGCAGGGCAAGGAAAGGTGGACAAGCAGGAAATCTTTCCCAGGCGCTGTGTTTGTGAGGGCCCTGATTTGTTACTTTACAGCATGTTGTAATGCGGAGAGGGAGTCACAGCCCCAACAGGATCTGCGTCCCTCTCTCTGTGTTACCTGCCAGAACTCTTCTCTCTCGTTGCACGCAGGTATTTTAGAAAACAGCTAATTTGCTTACCCTCTGGGAGAGTTTAAAGTTGTGATCCTGACTGAGGATAACATAGTCAAAAGAGTGGTGCCCACAATAAGCTGGATAAATTAGTTTTATTCCTGTGATTTCTAGTCCATATAAAATATGCTTTGAAGCAGGTAGAAGGTGACATCAGGAGTCCTACCTTAAGATAGCATCAGGAGGCTTAAAGTTTGGGCTCTGCCAGAATGCATCCTTAACTGAATTAGGGATGTGTCTCCACACATGGTGCTTTGGAGCTGGCAGAACTTCACCTTGTTGAGTGGCACAGTCCCCCGTTGTGTGGCAGATGACAGAAAGCACTGATGGCTGGTTCCTTGCCTCTGCTGGCTGCGGGGGCTCTCCAGCACGCACCTTAAAGCCTGGCCAAATTTTAAACTAAATAGAGGTTGTGTTCTCTCACACTGACAGAGCTTAACCATAGGTAAAATTCAGTTGGAGCATGCGGTAAATGCGCCTGAAGATTATAGCTTCTTTCAAAGCCTTCGCAGAGGGAAAAACATTTTTTCCAAACACCATGGATGGGCTGCTATAGAAAAAGAAAGGAAGCCTCAGACCTCACAAGAACAGGACAAACATCTCTAGCTGGAAAGAAACAGAAGACATCCTGGAGTTAGCCTGATGAACAGGAAAGAGCAAGCAGGTGTGGCCACAGCAAAAACCCCAATCATCAGCAAGAGAGGACTTTATCACTTGATCTTTGTCAAACCACTGGCGTAGAGATGAGACCAGAGTTTGATTAAGGACCTTGAGCTATAAATATAGGCCTGGCTTCCCCTAAGAGCTGACGCTGGTAAAATATTTTTAGAAAACGGTTAACTTGAAGTTACTGCTCCTGCCTATTTTAAGTGGCCAGCACCACCTTCAGCACTTCCTAGAACTGAAGTACCGGGCAGGCCACTGAGCTCAGCCACACTGTACCGTCTTGGTGATACAGAAGTCGCTTGATTGATCCTGACAACGAAGGGTCTGACTTGATACAGCTGCGCTGCCCTAGTTAGCTAACCAGCTGCTCTTGAAACTGCTTCCGAGAGGATGGTGCCGGTCCTTATCTGACTCTTTCAGCGACAGAAGACTGTCCGCTTAGGTCCCTCTAGTGGCTTACGGTGCATGTGGGAGCGGGCAGCCAGCTGGGCTGGGAGAGGGGCGCAGGGGCTCAGCCTGCCCGGCAGCCTGCCTTGTGGCAGCGCTGGCTTTAGTTGTATCGCAGGCTGGGGCTTGGGGAAAAAAACAAGCTGGGCGAAATCCACAGCTGTGGGGTCCAGGCTTTCTCTGCTGCCATGCAATTTTTCATCTCTCAAGCATCCGCTGCTCTGACCTACTCAGATGTCACGCTCTTACCATTTGTCTAGGGCAGCTCAATTGCCGAGTAAACGGAGAATAGGGCTGTTTGGCTCTCTTGGGTATTGTTTCCCTTTCAGCAATCGGGGGGAGAAGGGGAAGTCCTGCACATCCTATGATTAAAACCAGCTCCCAGCCCACAAGTAGATGAGACTAATTCCAATCCCAGACCCTCATCTTTCAAACTACACGCAGCTTACCTTGTGCCAGTGCTAAGTTAAAGAACAGCTCTGAACTGTGTTGCTACTTGCCTGCCGTTTAAAAGCATTGTGAGTGGTGGATGCTTTTTGTATAAAGCTCACCCTTTCATTTTGTTTGTAGGTAACAGTTATTGTCTTGGGAAACAAAACTGACCTCCTGGACCAAAGGCAAGTGGAAACAGAAACAGCACAGCAATGGGCAAGGGCCGAGAAAGTGAGACTGTGGGAAGTGACTGTGACAGATCGGAAAACACTGCTTGAGCCCTTCACCTTCTTAGCCAGCAAACTCTCCCAGTCCCAGAACAAATCAGCATTTCCCTTGCCTGGAAGGAAGAGCAAAGGGAATAACTGTGATAACTAAACTACCTTAGCATTGTCTGCTGCTGCCAGGTCACAGACGAAGTCCTTTCTGTGCCATTTGCTTATCACAGTTTCACTTAAAGCAATAATCTCATTCAGCAATAAAATCAGCAAGCTTATGGCTAAGAGGTATCCTTCCTTCTCATGGACTTGGCTTGAAAAAGTCACTGGTGGTAAAAGCCTTAAAAAGCACTTCATGAGAGGAGTTATCTTGCACCAAGGGTTATGGAGGATGGAGGGATAGCCTCTCTAGCAGGGGCTTTGACTATGCCTGGATACAGCCATGTTGAGGAATAAATCACCAAGCTTATCATTAAGCAATCCCCCTGCAGATCTATAGCCTCTAGTCATAAATAGTACTAGCTGCAATAAAGCATTCAATTTGGAGAGAGGATGTTTGAAATGGCAACAGTCCTTTTACCTTGACCTTAAACAGGGCCACAGGGCTTTTTGATGCTGCAGGAGGCTGAGGTCAGTGTGTTGTTGCAGGAGAAAAGTTTGGGGCAGGAGGAACAACTACCAGCAAATTTAGCTGCTGAACTTCTGCTAGTGTCTGGAAGAAAAAAAAAAAAAAAAACAAAAAACAAAACAAGTCTTGTGGGAGATATTAGAGCAGATCTACCCTGACATGAAGCTTGTCAGCAAAGTCTGGCAAGTAGTGCTTTCAGCTCAGGAATTTATTTGTACAAACCAGAAAAGCTCTCAGAGCACTCATTAATTTAACTGCAACCTGAAGGACAACATAGCTGTACGTGGTTTTGTTCCAGCATGTCCAGTACAAATCAGTCACATTCACACAGGTGATAATTTTACTGAGAAATTATACTGAGCAATTTTGTATGCAGGAGGTACTGCCCGGGCTCTGCTTAGTGCATTGCGTAATACTCCCACCCAGCCGTTCAGCCAAGCTGCGGTAATCCACCCTCGCTATGAAGCTACAGGCAGATAACAACCGGTACAAAGTACTGTACTGCTTTGTGAGAGGGGGCTAGGGAGTGTAGGAGGCTGCCTTTTGGGAACATCCCCATGGCAAACACCCAGAAATACCTGTACAAATGGCCTTGGTCTTAATACGCCGCACATTGTCCAGCAGCAGGAGGCACAACTGTACATGCTGTATTTGACTCCCCACGCTGGTAAGCCTGTGCTGCAGGAATCGGCTGTCCTAGGTCAGCCTGTCAGTAAACTAAACAAAATTGGATATAGAGGGACAGAATAAGCAACCGTTCCCAGACAGAGTAGCCAGCTTTTGGCCTCTAACAACCTCTTATATTAATTGATATTAGCTTTTCTTTATATTTGAAGACAAGAGTGGGGAGAGGGAGTGAACTGAAGTACCCAGTTCCCTCATTTTCCACTAAATAATGCTGTTTTGAACAAATAATGAGAATTTCACTGTGAGTCAGCAAAACCACGAGCAATATTTGCACTGTCATATCATAACTGCTGAATAGTAAGTGTGCTTAATGATTACAATTAAGCTGTATGCTTATAGCATTGCTCTTCCTGAATACGGACAAAGTCTGTCAGCATTACTAATGTCAGAGCAGCAGTACAATTCACTAAAAATTAAGCAGGTATTCCTACCTTTATAATGAAGGTAGACGAAACTGTTTATGTGCTTTGCTCAATATAGTTTGGATTGCTGTGGCCAAAGAGTAAGATAAGAGCAATTATGAATGAGCAAGCTCTTGTAATGCCCTGCTAGAAACATACAATTGTTTCCATTGCAACACTGCAGCTGAGTAAGCACTATAGCACGACCTCCCCCAACCTGGCTAGTAATAGTCATTGTCCCCACCAATGATGCAGAACAACACTCCCTCCTCACTTATATCCTACTGAACACACGTGTACTCAAGGCTTGTCCCTACCCAGAAGACTCCACGTCTGCCTGCGTGCTTGGGAAGTGGGGGTGACTTCAGAGCAGCAGCCATTCTCCTCCTTGCTGCAACCTCTCACCAAGGAATTGGTTATGTTTCTCCTCTTCAGCTCTGCAGAACCCTTCTTCTAGGAGGTACTTGATTCAGCTTTGGATCAATCAAAATAAGCAAAAACCTCTGCTAACTGCACATCGTCACTGAAGCTGACCCTTGAGCCAAGGGAGTGCAGGTTGACAAGTCAGAATTAACTTAAAATGTGTGGAGATGGAAGGAACAGAGATGACTGGTTCCCGTCCAGTTCTGCACCCCGCAGGCTCGGTGCCAATTCCACTGCCAAGACTGATGTCACCTGTAGGCTGGCAGAGCCATGTCGTGTGAGATCAGCTTGCTCACTCGCTCCCCTGGACACTCAGGACTTGACAATGTCTTAAGAATGGCAAGAGGAAAAGGGATCTTCCGAATGACTAAGGCCATTTTTCCAAACAGGTTACATAAAGGCAAACACATTATCTTTGATTTGGTTAAATTCATTAGAAATGAGTTTAGATCATTTTGGGTATTCACATAAACAACCACCACCCACTGTTTTCTTTCATAAGCTTATTCTGATGCTTTTTAAGTGCTCAAATCAATTTTCTTTTCTAAATACCATAGTATTTTATTGACAAGTGATGGAAAATGTAGTGTCTCCCCTGCAAACAATCTACACACAGTGGCTGGTACTGAGTAAAAATTAAACTCACTGTAGTACAGTTTTACATAGGGTTAATAAGTAAAGTACAGAGTATAATGTAGTAGCTAAAGGGCAGAACATGTATTTTGTTCTTACTATTCCACTGATTCAAAACCTGTCCTGGGTCACTGGGATCACTTACCTACTACAGAGCTAGACAGTCCCTTCACAAGATAATGGAGAAAAATTATTATAAAAAAGAAAAATAAATTAGTAAATTGAACCATCTTTCTCTGTTCCTCTTAAACTTCTATCCTGCTGAATAGAATCATAGAGTCATTAAGGTTGGAAAAGACCTCTAAGATCATCGAGTCCAACCGTCACCCCAACACCAATAAATAAACACTGTGCAGATCAGTCACCCCAAATCAGCTCCCTCCCCCTGCCAGCTACAACAGTTAATTTGGCATGTCCTGATAGCATGAAGCAAGGAGCCGACAAAAACCTACTGAGATTAAGCCATTTACCTCCTCACTCGGTAAGGAGAGGAGGAAACGATTACCAGAGATGCTCCTGGCGTGATGCAGCTATATACCAATAATTTGCCTCGGCTGAGCCAAACAGCTGAGGGAGCTCATACACCAAAACATACATTGTGTCAAAAGAAGGCAGTTCAGCGGATGAGGCTAATGTACTACTACCCACAACCACCCAGCAAAGGAAGGGTTTGTAATCTAACAGATTACTTTGGACCAAGTTAGATTTGATCTATATATAGATAGGAAGAGAAGTATATAAATAAAGTATATACAGAATTTATTTTAAAGTACCAAAACAAATCCAAGAGTGCAGATGACCACATAGCACTCAGATGAATGTCGCACGGTGAAGTACTTGCCGTGTGAAAATGAATCTGTACTTCCGGCCTTTACCTTAAGGGAGTGGTCAAAAATGCCATATCCACAACTAACTGCCCTGTTGCTACACACCTCAATGTAAACACCATGTCTCTAGGAGATAATCTTTGTAGGTAGTTAAAGGATCTACAGATTAAGTCTCCTTTACTCTCCTTTAAGGTGTCTTCTGCTAGCTTACCAGGACACGACTCCTTCTCCTCTTCCAAGTGGGAATAGACCACTCCATCAGAAAACCATGAAGATATTCTCTTCTTCCTTTTACCTCCTGCCTGTTTCCCTTCCAGATCTCTTACACTTTTCCAGCTGTACTTTGAAATGACGTGCCAGTCCTGAAAAGCCAACGCTGTGAAAACTTAAGCTAAAAAGTAACTAGCGTGGACTCTGTGGCAGGTTAGCTCCTCATGGGCCATGCCAGCCTGCACAACACTTACACAGTAAACAGTTGAAAAAAGTCTTACGCTGTCATTCATTGTATGCTTGTCTAGAAGTATTTTCCCAAAATAGCAGCAGTCGATGCACTCACCTGCAGATCTCCCTTGTCCTTATCCATACTGTAATCCTCAAAGCGTACTGGGAGACACTGTTCTGGCAAAATGACAAAGCAAAGCACTAAGCAGAAATCTTTTCTTCTTCTTTTTTTTAAACATCTTTTTATTAGCACAGTAACAAATGCAGACTTAAGTAGCCCACAACATACAACCAATCCACTGAGTGACTCCTATTCCACGCCTTACAGTTAAACAGCTTAAGGTATTTCACTACAGGTTACCGTAAGTCCTGATTAAACCCTTTATTCTTTTCACAAAGATAGATTGGCTTATAAAATAATACATTAACTACTTCTCATTTCATATATGAGGCCATATATCCACCTCTCCGTATCACAGATCATGAGATGACAGTCTTTAAAAAGGATTTGTTAAATACCAATGTGCCCTCCATAGGGGAAAACAATCCCGACATCTTTTTACAAAAAAAAAAAAAAAAGAAACCCAACCCAGAACAAAATAAGCCCACCAAACCCAAAACAAAACAAAGAGCAAAACCTGTGTGTAGTCCTGAAAGGACTTTTACATAAATGTCAACATATGTACCTGTACAAAATTAAGCTGTTGTAATCTTTTACATATTGCAAGCAAACTGAAAACCAAAGAAGTCTAAGAAGTTTACATTCTTCTCAGTACTATGTGTGAGCTAATATTGCTGAACTAATTACAGTCTTAAAATATGCTATTCCCAATCCTAGCTGTCTACTGTAGCAAGATACCTTAAGTTACAACAACAAAATCTTAGGAAATAAAAGACTGAATAAAATCTGTTATAGAAATACCCTACTCTTTACCAGCACCCTCCCTCCCCCCACCCCTTCAAAATCATAAGCAGCTCTTTCCATCACAGACGAATAATGTAAGAGTTTGACGAAAATCCAATTTATGTAGCGTATCTTTTGGTCCATTGTCTGGCCATTCTGTCATGCTCTGCTCTGTTAGTCATATACTGAGTGGCAATACTTCCAACCAGGGGGTCAGCTGAAAAGAAAAGAAAACAAACGACTTATTTCAGACAAGTTACCAAATAAAAACTTAAAAATAAAGCTGAAGTGTGAATTTAATACAAGGGAATCACACAGGTAAGGCACATTACAGCAATCTAAATATACTGAACTGATAGTCTGTATCGTCACTGATTTGTGTGTATTTATGGTGACATACTAATCTTTTACTTAATAAAGAGCGAAATGACAATTAAAGTTTTAAGGAATTTAAAAGACAACAATCCAATAGTCATATTTTGCATTACTGAGGTTTTTCACCAATTCATGCATTTCAGGTTTATTTTACCCCTTCTAAAAGCACCTGGGACATACTCGTTGCTAAGTGTACTTGTATCATTATAAATCTGCCTTCTAGGAAAGATCAGATCTCAAGGAGAGGTTTTATTTTTCCAACAAGTTTATTTTTATTATACATAATAGAGTGTGAAATCCGGTGTTTCTCTCATCTTTAGACACATATAGAAATACAACCTGTAAAATTGACTTTGGAAACAAAGACATATTCCTCTTAACTGGCGTG